GATCAAATGAGATGTTTGTAAAGCACTTAACCCAGTATTTGGCATGTAGTAGTGACTTAGTAAATACTTTTTTCCTTTTTTCTTCCAGGCAGTAAGTAACAAGAGGCAAGATTCAAACCCAAGTCCCCTCACTCTTGATCCAGTACTTTTTGTACTGGGCCATACTACCTTTCCAAACCCAGTACCACTGGAAACTGGTCAGGTATGCTGCCTCTGTGTAGCTCTAATTGTCCACATGAGGCATTCCTTGGCCTCAGTAAGGTTGAAAGGGCACTGGGAAAAACCAGAATTTCCAGCCCTATCCCAACTGAACCAAAAGTTCCTGATTTTCTCCCCACCCCTCAGTCTGTAGGAGGTATTTTCTGTCTGATTCTGTCTTTTCATTTTCTCCAAATGTCCTCTGAGCCCATGACTCATGGACGAGCTGGCAGAGAATCTATGTTCTATGGCACCAACACACAGGCTTCCTTGAGCTACTGCAACCCATTCACCAGTGTCTTCCCATCAAAGGTGGCCAGATAACCTGTGACCAGCCAGTTTGCTTGCTCAGACAAAAGCTTTTCCTTCTTCTTTTAGCTTTGAATGCTACCACAAATCAGCTTTGCTTTCTTCTTCCATTCGGTCCTGTGTACCTGAACCCAAGATGATTGCGTCGCCTGAAAGCTTTGAACATCAGTACTGTGATCAGCCAGGAGTGCAGTCCAATTTCCACTTTGTTCAAACATGGCTTTCCTGTCTTCTCTGGGAAAGTGTCTGCCAATTCATTTCTCTCTTCTTATCAGCAAAGCACATATATACCCTGCTCATGTTTCTTAATATAAAACACAGGGAAAATCCCCAAGCAGTTGGGAGGCCAGTTAGCATAAATACTGCCCAGATCTCTGCTCTCAACCCATAGCAGGCGCTTTTGTTTGCCGTCAAATAAGAAATGTATTCGACACTCTGCTTTTGTGGATGCCAATCACTTGAAATTGTCAGCCTTTGATAATGGTCTCTTTTAAATAGTTTCTACTAGAGCAGCTTTTTTTTTTGAAAGACTAGAAAATATGCTGAGTGCCTTTGAGCAAAAAGCCTAATTCATTTTTCGAGAAATCCTTAACAGAGTATTAGAGGTCCAGTGTTCCATGTCATTTTACCAAGGAGACTGACCCAAGAGATCACAGTCATGCTTTCATATCTTTTTATGAAGTGGAGCAATATGGATAGCCAGAAAAGGTATGAGAAGCATTTCCTTTTTTTTCTTACTATTAATTTTATTCTGAATGCCAACCAAGCTTGAGATAGGATAAGGTAAAGCAAAGGTAAGTGTAGGGTGGGGAATGTATGTGGGGTGGGGAGGGGCTGCTTTTAAATAATTTTCTTTTAAATACTTTTCATTGAACTTCACTACTTCTGAGTGGGAGAAAACTGTTCCAGGGCAGACACTCTCTTTGTTTCCATCCTCTGTACTTGATTCTCCCATTTTGTTTTTTAGACCTTTGTTTCTCTCTCCTCCAACTCCCCTCACCCCTGGGATGGGAAGTATTTACTGTCTGATTAAAATCTATTCATTTTCACCAAATGGCCTCTGGGGCTGACTCATAGACCAGCCAGCTGTGTTTGATGGCACCCAAGGACAGGCTTCCTTGAGCTGCTGTAACCATTTTCTGGTATCTTCCCTTCAAAGGTAGCCAGATAACCTATAACCAGCCAGCTTGTTTTCCCAGATAGAAGCCGAGTGTGGGAGACAGTGAGAATGACTGAGGAATAAGTAGTCAAGAGTAGAGGAAAGGATACCATTTGTGTTACTTTGCCCTCCCTTACAAACTCCTGAATGATTGACATCACTGCCAGCACTGTTCAGCTCCACATCAAGAAATATTTACTAAGCACTTGCTGTGTGCGCAGGACTATGCAGTACTGCAAGAAAAATAAGAAGAGTAAAAGACACCTTTCCTGCCCCTAAGGAGCTTATAGGGTAGTTGGGTAGGCCAGGATATCATAGATATGTCAAACATCTCTGATTTTATCCACATTGGAACTTCCTCTACTAATGTATACTATAACACCATCTATAACTTAATTGATGAGACTCAAGGAAGTTAAATGAATTAGCCATGGGAATATCACAATTAAGCTACAGGTAGGAATTGAACCATTATTTTCCTGACTCCAGGTCCAGGATTCCATTTTACTATATTCATTTATGTTTGAAGCTTGAGCCCTGATACATGGCAAATTCTGGTTGTGATAAGAGTTCAGGGAAGGAAGATTGAGGGTCATAATCTATAAAATGGAAGATAGATGTGATAAGAATTACACATTTCCAGCCTTGAGATCTTAGCCCATTTTTTTCTCCAAACCTTCATTTATATTAGAAAAGATTATCTTGTAGTTTTGGTATGGTGCACGTAGTGATCTAAGGGGATGGCGGACCCTTGAAAAAAAAAGCAATGATTTGCATTGGTCACTGCCCATAGCCTGATTAAGTGATTCATTTCAACTCCTCAATGTTGTGCTTTATTTAGCTGCTACATTTGGGTTTGTTTGTTTGTTTGTTTTTAAACTGTTATACCAGAAGACTGATATATTCCTTTCTTTGCATCTCCAATACTTAGCACAATGCCTAACACATAGTAGGTACTTAATAAATGCTTATTTTGTATTTAATTTTGTGTTTAAATACCAAGTCACTAGATAAAATATGGATATGTTGGTCATATGTAATAAGACAAAATAGGACATAGATGACTTATGACAGTTATTATGAAGATTGTACTCATGACTCTGAGAATAATGTGTGGTGGAGATGTCATATGGTCTTCTAGAGATCAATATTTCGTAACCATAGTCAATGATCAGATGACAAGTTGTAGCTGCAACTACAAAGAAAATTATTCACGACCTCTCTGTGAAGTGGGTAATGTAAATACTGTCATTTTAGAGGAGGAACCTGAGGTAAAGAGAGTGATGTGATTTATCCAATATTGACTAACTAATCCTTCACAGAGCCATGAATTTGAACCCTGACTGAATCCTAATGATTTTTGCTATATACCACAAATCCTCTACATCTTTCTGGGCAAAAGTAAGGACAAAAGTAAACCACTGTGTGGTTTACATTGTACTTGGCACTCTTAAGAGAGAATAAGGGAAATAGTACTAATAATGATTTTGTTGTTGGGTCATTTTTGTCATGTCTGACCCTTCATGACCCCATTTGGAATTTTCTTGGGAAAGATACTGCAGTGGTTTGCCATTTCCTTCTCCAGTGGATTCATATTGTCAGGTAATTAGAGGTTAAATAATTTACCCAGGGTCACACAGCTAGGAAGTGTCTGAGGCTGGATTTGAACTCAGGTCTTCCTGGCTTCAGGCTGAATGCTCTATCCATTGAGCCACCGGCTCAATTGTCAATTATTATTGATAATAATAATAACTCACATTTATATATTGTTTTCTCCATAACCACCACTGGAAGTAGTATAGGTACTGAGTTTTAGAACGAGACAAGGTCACATAGCTAGTAAGTTTTGGAGCCAGGATTGGCTCCCAGGTCTTCTAACTTCAAATCCAGTTATTTTTCCAGCACAACACGCTTCTCTACCCTCAAGGGGCTTATGGTAAAAAAAGAAGAAAAGGGGACACACATGAAAGATACATAGGAGTACACATGATAAAAGCATTAAAAAAATTTTTAATTATATATATATATATATATATATATATATATGTAGATATTGTTCCTCGAGTTGAATCCTACTCAGTATCTGCAATACGGGAGAATAATTATTAAACAAGTTAAGATTCTATCTGAACTTCTTTAAACCAAGATGATAATTGTTAGTATAAGATTTGATGTCTTGATTAAATGGTAGCATGTAAAGGTAGAACCTGAATCTTTGCTATGAACTGCAAGTTCCATTCATTCTTTCATTCAATAAACATGCCATACCTGTAAAAACTTCAAGATTTTACTTAGTCAGGACCACACCTATATCAAAGTGAATGAATAGCAAGGTGGCACAGGGTATAGAGTCCTAGACTTAGAATCAGGAAGATCTGGGTTCAAATCTTGCCTCAGTTACCTACTAACTATGCAACTCTGTATGAGTCACTAAACCTTTCTTAACTTAATAATAGCTTCTCCCTCACAGGTTTTTTTATGAAGACCAAATGAGATAATACATATGAAGCGCTTGGCAAAGCATAACGCACTGCATGTGTGCTATTATTGCTTCAAGAAAACAATGTTGCCTTGACATTCTAAATATAAACTATATTTGTGAAATTTGTTCACTTCTTCCTATACTGAAAATTAACTGGTTTTAATCAAAATCCTATATGCTGATTCAATTCAATTCAATAAACATGTATTAAGTGCCTGCTATTTGCTAGGCACTGTGCTAAGTGCTGGGGATACAATTATGAAAAAGAAAGGCCTTGCCCTCAAGGAGCTTACAATTTCATGTAGGAAGACAACACTCAAAAAGAAGCTGGAAAGTGAGGAGGAGAAAATAGCAGTGGGTATCTGCTCGGGGACATCATGTTCCTTGTAGTTCAAACCAAGCAGAGCAGCAGATAGAAAATGCATAGTTAGCTAGAAAGCCCATATCCAGATTTCTGTAAAAGAGAGCTTTGGAAAGAGTTAATTGCTCTCCTATCAGAGGGGAGAGGAGGCTTGAGGGAGTGGGGAAGGTTTTGAATATCCAAAGTTGAGCTAAACAACATAGTGATGAGATTTCAGGTGATCACATTATCCTGGGTGGGACATCTTGTTCCTTAGAGTTCAAACCAAACAGAGCTATAGATATAAAGTGCCAACCTACAAAAGGTATGTGGTCCATGTCTTCTATTTCATTACTACATCATTATTTGACCTGTGCTACCCACCACGTGTTTAGCTATTAACAAAGATCTGTTGATTGAACTAAGTATATCATTAAGGGAAGAAGTGATGGCAGCCTGATTGAGGTCAACCTCAAAAGACATTCTAACAGAAAGTATCCTTTTCTTTTTAGGTGCTGAAATTTGAACCTGGCCATTTCAAGAGGAAGGGGAAAACTAAGAACATGGCTCTTATTGATATTCAACTGGATCATCACGAGCGCTGTGATTGTATATGTAGCTCACGGCCACCTCGATAAAAATCAATGAACATGCTCATTTTAAGCGTGAAAGACCTTTTCATTTTTAAGAAGGGTGATGTAAGAGAACCTTCTCCCATGGGCACCAGGACTTTGCTACTAGCCTGCATTGCAATGAGTAAAACCAATGGCTGAGTTTCAGCATAGCTTTGCTAGTGCCACGGCAGCTAGATACGTGTATCATAGACTTCTGTATCCAAAAATTTAGGACTAAGTTTAGTAGTAGTATATGAGATAAGGTCATCATAAATACACATAATGTATCTGTATCTATCTATCTTCATGTAAATAGGTAGATTAAATGGTTTCTTCAATTTATATTAGCAGCTGTACTAGCTTCTACATCTGGATCCATGCCTTATTCCCATGAAGCCCTTTGAAGAAATCAATGAATTGTAAATGCCATAAAAGTTGTCTGGAGGAAAGTCATCTTTGTCCATTTGTGTAAAACACAACTTTGAATCTTTAAAATATCAAAAGAGCTCTTGAAAAAAAATATAACTTTTCTTACATGTATATCAAAATTGGGAATATTAACACTGACAAAAGTGTGGTTATAATGAAAAGCTCAAATGTTGAAATGTGAATTCTTTTAAGATACATCAGGCTCTCTCTAGAATAAGCAATGAATATCCATCTCCTCAATTCTACCAGAATTCATGATTTGCAGAAATATATATTCCTGCCATTGAACTATCTATTCATTTGCATTTTGCTGAGGCATGTTAATTTATTTAGCAGCACCTGTCTCTGAAAAATAATGTTCAGAAGGGATGTTTCTAATGCTGCAAATAAAAGACGCACCTTAAGAACCTAAACTCCAAAGGGGAGCTACTCGTGCTTATTCAGACTTTATGAAAGTGCTCTAAATTCTTTTCTAAAAAACCAAAAATGCCTTTGCAGGATAGCTTGTAGACTCTGAGTCATTCATCCAGATGTTCCCTATAAGATGTGGGCAGTTAAAAACCAGAAAGAGGGAGCTTTTGAGTGTTAACATAACTGAAAATGGGGTAGAACATTTAATGGCTGAGGATATAGGCTTAATAGTAGGTTCAAGCTCTCTGTAGCTGCACCAATTCATTTTTATGTGAGCTGCTTTTGTGTTCTTGTCTCTTAGATATATAGAAGTGGATTTACAACAATATTCTGGGCATGGGCTGAAACTGGCAAGCCATCACAAAATATTTATAACTTTAAAGCTCTTGTGTCTTAATAACAAGAACCATTTTATAGTTGTTATATCCTTAATCTCATACCTACTAACATACTGCATTCCTGTTTCTGAATCAAATAAAGCCAAGGACTTCTCTCTGACTCTATAACTTTATTGAGGCAGTCCTAGGAACCAGTTCAACTCTGCTCTAACACATGAAAATCCAACTGTTTTTGTTTGGTTTTTTAGTATTATTATTATTTATAGTCATTTTTTTTTCCATTCTGGCTCCCAAATGTCTATTTAAGAGGAGACTTAGTAGAAGGGTGGGAAGTGATTCATCATTCTGTAAGCCAGGCTCTTCATAGAGTGGCACTGACATCACAATTGCCAGTGTTATGCCTTTTTTTTTATTATTATTATTACTTTTCTTAGTGCTGCTCAGAGCGAGCTTCATTTTTCTTCCTGTTGTAGAAGATAACAGGACAGCCAGATTCTTCTGTGATGCTAGATTCAGATTGGCTAAACATGGGAGAAAATATTCAGCTATTCCCAATAGGTTGAGACAGGGATCTGGTTGAGTCCCAGGGTCAGAAGAATGTTCTAAGGGTACTTGTTTTTTCTAAGTCAGAGCCCTTGGATAGGCCAGCAGAAAATCAACACCTAATTCTGATGGCCCTTAATGTTCCTTAAGTTTCCATGTTTTTTGCTGTAAGAGGGAAGAGCTGAAACTTTCCATTTGTCACCTCCCTAGTCTCAGAGCAAAGAAATGATTAAAGGCACAGCATCCAAGGTAAGATTGGTAAGGGCAAAGTTTCAAGTGTTGAAAATCCCCAAATTGAAACTGGTATGCATATTAATGATGGAGAATCATAAATTCAGTCCACTGTGGATGGCCATAATTACATCATTGTGGCTTGAAGACGACACCCAACATGACTATAAATAAGAAAATTTTGAATTCTCTACCTAACTTTTGATGCCATAAAAACCCAGTGTGGGTTCTGGTCCAGGTCATATCCAAAGTTTTTGACAATTATTTAGCTAAAAATTCAAGAAGGCCCATTCACTATTTTTTTTTGTTCCTGTATATTTTGTTGAGATTTTTCCCAGTTGTCTTTTTTCTATTGAGTTCCCCTAAAATAGTTCATTAAACTTGCTTATTGTCTTTGAAATTGATAGAACACTGGAATCAGGAAGACCCGAGTTTGAATCCTGCCTGCATCAATGTCAGGATTAAGTGGAAATACACAGGATGTCCCAGAAGTCTTGTGTCATTCACAGCATTAAGAATTTTGAGACTCCTTGTATTTAAAGTGTTTGGCAAACATTAAAATGATATATAAATCCTAGCCATTTCAGGCATGAAAAACCCAACATCAATTTTATTTCCCCCCCAAATGTTAATAAATCCAGACTTCCATATAACTTCTTCATATGGGATGTTATACTTTATTCAATGAGTGCTTACAGGGCAGAACACTTTCCTAAGTGCAATTTTTATGTATAATAGCTACTCCCACCCCCAAACAACAGCATTTCCTACATCAAAATCTAATGTCTTCCTTATCTTCCTGGAAAATAAATATTGCTTTTGAAAGAAAGTGTGCAATAATTATTCTGTGTGCAAATACAATTTTTAAAAGCTGTGAAGTATTCCAAATTTATTTTCACAACTGTACCCAGCTGTTTGAAATTAAATAGCATACAGACAGGATGATGTGATTTCACAGGACTCCATTTCAAAATGCAGAAATACTACAAATTGCTACCTGGACCATGTACTTCCACATGATTAGCTGCCTGTTAACCATGCAGTGAGGGAAAATGAGATAGTTCCCAAGCTGTATTTTAAAGCAATGCTTTTTTTTTTATCTTGTATGTCTCACCAAAAAAGAATAAATAAATAAACTTCACTATCCTCACTCGTACCCTGAAAACAACTCTGTCAGAACCTCAGTGGGTCAGCATCGTCCTTGCCCTGATTAACTCCTTCTTTGAAGTGCTACCTTGTTCCAGTTACACAGTCAGAGAGCTTTTAACTTGTGGCATTGGCAATCTGGCACTTGATTTACTACCAGTGATTGGGGTATGTGAGGTGTTCAGGGAGAACTAGCACCCCTGAAATGAGGGCTGGCTGAGGTTTTTTCAGGGCTGTTTCTCCACCTTTGGTGTCCACCTTCACCCAACTCTCACCTGTGGCTCCAAGAAGCTGTAGCATGCACAGCAGCCACACCCTGGTAGAATGGTTTCAGCACACGGGCTAAATTAGATGAGGGTAACCAACAGGTCTCAAACCCATTAGCAAGTTAGGGGGATGTTTACCATAAGCATGTGAAGATTTTGTCCAGGAATAGGCAGATGAGAATAGTTTGTTCAAATAGCTGTGAACATAGCTGGAGCAGACACTGTGGGATGCTTAGAACTTGGTTAGACATCAAAAACACCAAGGTCATCCACTGCATCCCAGGCCATCACCAGTTATCTTGACTTTTGTCCTGACACTGGACTTCAATGACTGGAAGAGAGAGTTAGCCTGATGACTTTGTACAACTCTGCCTCACTTAAATCTGGTTTATACACAAGGTAAGACATCACCCCATGATGCCATTGTTCTTCTTCAAAAATGAAGGATGAATAACAGAATACTTGATTTGGAATCAGGAAGATAATGGGTTCAAATCTTATTTCAGATGCCTACTAGTTGTATGACCCTGGTCAAGTCATACAACTTCCCTGGCAGTTCTTCATATGTAAAATGAGGAATTTGGATTAGATGGTCTCTAAAGTCCCTTCTGCAATAAATTTATGATCCTGCAATCATAATAGGGCTGATTCTGATATCTCAGAGTTTCCATCATTGAATAGTACACATAGCACAGTGTGCCATCAGTTTGCTGAGACTGAACCGCATCTGCGTAGGGTGAGTGGTGTTGTTTTGGTCACATACACTATTTTTTTTAATAAGTTCATTAATTCAGAGAGACTTGAGAAGATTGGATTCATTTTTCAGACTGCAAAACTGGAACCCAGAGAGGTTAAGTAAATTGCTCATCATGTAGAGAGTGAGCAAGATAGGTGAAATTTGAATAAAGGTTCTCTTTTGTTTTGTTTTGTTTTTTTATTTAGGCCTGTGATTTCATCTATGAGAGGAACTCCTGGTATTTAAAATCCCTTCAATAATGCATGATCGTCTGTGGCTACATTCTTAGAGAGTTGTCTTATTTACTTACTGAAAGGTTAAATGACATCCATGATCATGCAGCTCATATGTTTCAGGATCAGGACTTGAAAATAGGACTTCAGATTCTAAATATAGATCAAATCCTTCCCTCTAGATATTTTAGTATACTGTATCTCAAGACCAAGGTCTCACCTCATTTTGCAGATAAGGAAATTGAGGTCCACAAAAAAGGTATAAGTAACTTCTTTATCATATAACTAGGCAGAATTAGGATTTGAACCTAGGCCAAGCTGTTGTCTAGGTAGGTATGGTCACAGATTTATTCCCTTAGGGATTAAATTCATCACCAGGAACATCAACTAATTAAGGTGTGTTTGGGTATGTATATGACTGATTCAAATAGCTTTTTCGGAGACTTTGAGTTGATTTCAAATTTTAAAAAATCATTGAAGCCAAAACATCAACAATATTAAATTATAAATGCACTAAAGATTTTTTGCTGTCTATTTTCTGAAGTGGTATATTGGTCCAATTTTACTCCTAGAATGCTAACTCAACAGATGTCCAATTTGTTCCTATTCTCCTAGGGTCCTTTTAGTGCAACATGAAATGAAAAGCCTCAAATTAGTATTCAGGACTGTAATCCTAGGAGATACAATTTTGCTTATTGACAGTCCTCATCAAACATGCTACAAGACAGAATATTCATAATTTATAGGTTTTATTGACATTCACTCCAAAGCTGTTGTGTTTTAAGTTAAATATGACATCTCCTTTCAAACACTTCAACGTAACTGATACCACCCACAGAAATTCCCCAGAAGAAAATATTCTGCTGCAAATAACTGAAAAGCAACTGCTTAATTTGGGATTCTGCCTTTCCTGCTAAGTTTATTTCTCTTGCATTTTTGCTAATTAACTTGTACCTTGGCATTTCTCAAATCTCATTCCTGGATGCTATTATCTAATAACTCTACACTAGATTTAGTTAGAAGAAAGTGGAGCTAATTCTATAATAAAGGTTAATGTACCAGATGCAGCAGATTCACAAGACAAAAAAATCTTGACTCCTAGGTTTTGCAATTACTCTTAAGAGTTGTCATTTGTGTGTGTGTGTATGTGTGTGTGTGTGCGCGCGCGCTCAGGAACTAAATGATGAACGTACTCCTGGGTTGGATTCAGGTTTTCAAACAACCCCAAGGTTAATGTGACTTCTTTCTTTTTTAGAAATGAACAAAATGAAGGCAGAATCCTTCAACAACCTGTTCTATTGGGTCATACGTAGTTGGGTGGGCTCTGGGCTCAGCCTCTCTGCTGCCTTTTCTCTTCCTCTCTTCCTCCAATTCCCTTTTCCTCTCCTCTCCATATTTTCTCCTCTCTAACTTGCTGGTTAGATTGAAATAAAACCCAATATTTGATTCTAAGTATCCCTTTAGATTTTATGTCAGTTCCTGAAGGGAGAATCATAATTTAGGAGCACTATACACTGAATAAGGACCCCAAACAGACAACACCATTCACTTTAGATTGGGTCTAGTATGAAGTAGGTGAACCTTATACTTACACTCTTAGGGAATATAATAAGTACCCCATTATGTGTAACAGATTCATTTGCCTTGATAACCTCGTAGAAATGGTCCTGAGCAAACGACCACCAACTAAGGATATGTCTATGGCCCATGATCACATAAGTAGGATAGGAAGGCTTTGGTGATGTCAGAATGACAGTCATTTTCCTGTGATATGATTTCACTCTTTGGGCATGAGCCAGGCACAAGGGAAAGAGACTGTGTGAAGAGCACCTCTGAGAGCACAGGTAGAGACAGACAGGTTACCCAGATCAGGGAATAAGCAAAGAATTCAAGTGTCCAACTGAGTCAAACCTAATCTGCCAAGACAAAGAGACAAACGGAAGGTCCCCAAGTTCCTGAATCATGTCCACCACTTGGACATTAGCCCTCTCTGAGATTACACAGTGAGTGGGAAAACCTTAGGGATAGACACCTGCCAGAAAAGCCCTGGGAAATAACGCTGGCCAGTTCCATGTGAAAGTGAATGGAAGAAGGGCTGAGATCTTGGGTTTGGCATTTCTTGCAGACAACAACATCATGGACTGAAAGAAGAGAATCCTCTGGTTGCTTTGATGTATTTGGTTCAATTCATTTCTGACATAATGATTAAAGAGCCGAATGCAGTAAGTTTTGATGAATGGCCTCAATTGAAAAGCATCTGGGACAGAACAAGAGATACACTTTCTTTTTAATTTTTTAAAATTAAGTTCAATTGAAATTGAATTCAATTTCAATTCAAATTTTAATTTAAAAATCTATTTTCTCTCTCTTCCACTCTTCTCTACCACATTGAAGACAAAGAAAAAAGAGAAACTAAACCCTTTAACAAACATACATAGACAAAATAAATTCCCACATGAGCCCTGTCCAAAATTTACATACATAGATATATATGTGTGTGTATATATATATATAATCTATGTATGTGTGTGTATATATGTATGTGTATCTATATGTATGTGTGTGTGCATATATTTATATCATTCTGTACCCTTAGTCTGTCACCTTTCTGTCAGGAGTTGAATAGCATACTTCATCCTTTGTCCTCTGGAATGATGATTGGCCATTGCATTGATCAGAGTTCTTAAGTCTTCCAAAATTGCTTATTGTTATATAAATCGTTCTCTTGGTTTTGCTTACTTCATTCTGATTCAGTTCATAGGAGTCTTCCCAGGTTTCCCTGAAACCTTCCCTTTCATCAATTCTTGTAGGATAATAGTACATTCATTCATTATATTCATATATCATACATTCATTAAATTCATATATTCATATATTACATTCATCTATCATAATTTATTTGGTCATTTCCCAGTTGATGGGCACCAGCTTAAACTATAGTTCCTTGCCACTACAAAAACAGCTTTTCTAGATATTTTGTACCTATGTATTCTTTTCCTTTAAGGGATGAACTTTCTTTATGGGTGGAGGCATTTCAAACCGAGTCTCATTGGATAAATCCCTGACTAAACCCTGAGACAAGGAGAATCTGGGATCACTCTGACAAGGTACAAAGCCAAATGAATAAGTCATAACAGTTTCCAAAATTTCCTTGAGAAGCCCTAGAAGCTGACACTGAGACCACCCCACTCCTCAAATTGGCATCTTGGATGAGCATTTGATTAATAACACATGCTATGGTCCTTGCTAGTGAATGACATAAGGAACCATTCAATAGTGGCCCCACTGTTACATTTACAATGTTGTATATTATCTGTATCTTCTTAGTGTCTTGCCTAATATATATAGTTAGTGTTCCAGGGTCCTGAATTATTGAAACTTTATAGATATCCAAGTGCCTCGCATAGTGTATAGTGTACATAGCAGCTACTCATGAGTGTTTATTGAA